CTTACGTTGAACAAAAATGAGAGTATTCCTGTCCAGTAGACCTGCACTACAAGAAAAACCAAAGAAATATTCAGGATGTCTTTCGGTATTCATCCCTTTAGGATAAAGGGAAATAATACCAAATGAAAACTCAGATCTTTACAAGGAAAGAAGAGCACCAGAAATGGTAAATTTGTAGGTTAAAATAAAATAACTTTCTTCTTACCTTAAATTATGTAAGAGAAAATTGACTTGAAATTTTTAAAATGTAGGGTTTATAACAGAAGAAAAACTTATGATAATAGTATAAAGGAGGGGAATTGGGCAAAGGGAAGTATACTGTTGTAAGTTTCTTATATATGAAGTGGTAGACTAATAAGATTAAAATGTACATTGTAAACTCTAGAACAATCTTTAAGAAAATTAAGCAAGGGATAACTAAAATACAATTAAGATAAAATTGAATAGTACAAAAATACATGTTTTTTTCCCCAAGGTTTTATTTAAATTCCAGTTAGTTAACATACAATGTAATATTAGTTTCAGGTGTAGAATTTAGTGATTCAACACTTATATACAATACCCAGTGCTCATCCCAACAAGTTGCACTCCTTAATCCCCATCACCTATTTCACCCCTCTTCCCAGCCACCTCCCCTCTGGTAACCATCAATTCTCTATAGTTAAGAATCTGTTTCTTGGTTTTACTCACTCTCTTTTTTTTTCTTCAAAAATACATGGTTAGCCAACAGAAGTCAAGAAGGGAAGAATGAAGTATTAATGAGACAAAAAAAATAAGATGATACACAAATTCAACTATATGAATGTTAATTAAATGTAAATGGATTAAACAATTAAAATGCAAAGATTATGTATCTGGATTTTTTTTTAAAACCCTCACATCTGAAAATTGAATTAAGAAAGCAATTCCATTTATAATAGCATCAAAAACAGTGAAATACTTAGGAATAAATTGAACAGGAGAACTGCGAAAATTGTACTACAAATCATTGTTGAAAGATTAAAAAGGCCTCAATAAATGGAAAGATATTCTATGTCATGCATCATATGACTATTGTTAAAAATGGCAATATTCCCTAAAATGATCTATGGAGTTAATGCAATCCCCATCAGATTCTAGCTGGCATCTTTGTAGAAATGGACAAACTAATCCTAAAATTCATATGGAAATGCAAGGGATCCCAAATAGCCAAAGCAATCTTGAAAGAGAATAGCAAAGTTGGAGGATTTACACTTCCTGATTTCAAAACTTTATACAATGCTACAGTAATCAAAATGGCATGGTACTAGCATAAAGATAGACATAGAAATCAGTAGAACAGAGCTAAGACTCAGACATAAACCCTCATATTTACATTAAGTTTTCAACAGAGGTAGCAAGACCATCCAATGGGGAAAGACTAGTCTTTTCAACAGATGGCATTGGGACAGCTAGATAGCCACATGCAAAAGAATGCCTCACACCTTATGTTTTATAAGATTTAAAGATTCTTTTGATGGTGCGATGATGAAAAGCAAAACTCTTTGTTCCTTAGAACTCCAAATGAGAGAAAGCTGCCCTGTAGGCCACATGGGATTGCACCTGGGGACAAAGTAACAGCAAACTGGAGCTGTAGGGGGCAGCTTAGTGGGGCAAGTGGGGTGGGGTTAGGTTTCATAGGCTCCCTTTAGATTGGCTAATTTGAATAATTCTGTGGGCTCTGGGGCATAGGGACTGTACCTGGTTGTCTGGTATCTATCTCTGGGGCAATTAGAGTGGGCACATAATGGCTCAAGAGTGTAAGGCTGATAAGGGAAATGGTTGGGATGTGGACTTTATCAGTTGCTGGAGAAGAACTGACCAGCCTCGAGCTAGGGCCTCAGAACTGGGTCAAGACAGCATTTCACTACAAAGCTGTAGTACACCATATATAAAAATTAACTCAGAATGGGTCAAAGACCTAAATGTAAGAGCTAAAGCTATAAAACTCTTCGAAAAAACAGGCATAAGTTTTCATGACCTTGAATCAAGGAATGGTTTCTTAGATATAACACCAAAAGCACAAGTAATAATGCTGGGCTTCATCAGAATTAAAAAGTTTTGCGTAAAGACAGCTCACAGAATGGAAGAGAATATTTGCAAATCACATATCTGATAAGGCACATATATCCAGAGCAGACAAAGAACTACTACAGCTTGTCTTTATCCTTAATCTTTTGTCTGCTTGATGTATGAGAGACTGAGAAATATGCATGTTCGGTTTGCTTTCTATTTTTCAAGGCCGTACTATTAGGTACATGCAGAGTCAAGATTGTTTTGTCATCTTGGTGGATTGTTCATTTTATTTTTAGGATATATCTGTTTTTATTTATTTAGCGTTATTTCACCTTAAATTTTGAAGACATGGTTGAACTGTCTCCAGATCTACTGATACCATGTGACCCACAGCTCCTACCTTAAATCGCATGGTTTCTGGCATGGCCAGCCCCTACCCTAAGACTTGGGTATGGCCAGCTCTACTTTAAGAATCAATCTGGCCAGCCTCTACCCTAAACAAAGACACTCCTCTCGGGTTACTTAGATTATCTCCCAGACATTGAAGCAAGACCTCTCTTTAGACAAAGCCAATTCTTTACTAGTACACATATATGTAAGTTTATAAGTTTATTTCAGGATTTGGAGGAACATGTGCTGAACTGAGGATAATAGTTCCCTCTGGAGAGAAAAGTGATAGTGGTGGTAGTAAATGGGTACTTAACTTTATCTGGATGATTAAATTTTCAGGTACTGCATAATTTTTTAATTATTTTAAAATGAAAAGACTAATTAAGACTAACTTTGGGAAAATGGAAAGAGAAGTTACATTCAATAGAATGAAATTCATTAATTATATCCAGATATGGAAAGATAAGCCATCAGGAGGAATTCTACTGTTATGAGAGTAGACCAATTATTTCAAGATACATGAAGTAACCATGATCATAGTCTGGGCATGACTTTGATATAGCTATCAAGTTTAAAATGAAACATTGTCAGGAATGTACAAATAGGATGTATACTATTTGAAGAAATCATCATTTATTTATAGTAACATCTAGTATCCTCCTTCTCAGTTGTTTGTCAAATTTTAGAATTTAGTTTATAATCCTTGGCTCATTGAAAATCAGATTGTATAAATATGAACAATTGTTTTTGTTTTTTTCAAAGATTTTATTCATTTATTTGACAGAGACACAGCAAGAGAGGGAACACAAGCAGGGGGAGTGGGAGAGGGCAAAGCAGGCTTCCCGCTGAGCAGGGAGCCCAATGCAGGGCTCAATCCCAGGACCCTGAGATCACGACCCGAGCTGAAGGCAGACACTTAACGATTGAGCCACCCAGGTGCCCCAATATAAACAATTGTAAATCTATATGTTGGGTACATGGGTATTATATTCTCTGTGCTTTTTTTTTTATGTTTAGAATGCCATTAGATTATTAAACTCAGGGTGATTTATGACTGCCTAGGAATAGGGGATTTCATATAGCTTTCCATCCATTTACTGGGTTCTCAGTCTAAGAAGGATGACTTTTCAAGATAGAGGAGCATCATTCTTTCATCAAGTGTATAGATACAGCCACTCTGGAAAACAGTGTGGAGTTTCCTCAAAAAGTTAAAAATAAAGCTACCCTATGACCCAGCAATTGTACTACTGGACATTTACCCCAAAGATACAGATGTAGCGAAAAGAAGGGCCATATGCACCCCAATGTTCATAGCAGCAATGTCCACAATAGCCAAACTGTGGAAAGAGCCAAGATGCCCTTCAACAGACGAATGGATAAAGAAGATACGGTCCATATATACAATGGAATATTACTCAGCCATCAGAGAGGATGAATACCCAACTTTTGCATCAACATGGATGAGACTAGAGGAGATTATGCTAAGTGAAATAAGTCAAGTAGAGAAAGTCAATTATCATATGGTTTCACTTATTTGTGGAACATAAGGAATAGCATTAGGAGAAGGAAGGGAAAAATGAAGGGGGGGATTCAGAGGGGGAGACGAGCCATGAGAGACTATGGACTCTGGGAAACAAACTGAGGGTTTTAGAGGGGAGGAGGGTGGGGGGATGGGTTAGCCTGGTGATGGGTATTAAGGAGGGAACATATTGCTTGGAGCACTGGGTGTTATACACAATGAATCCTGTAACACTACATCAAAAACTAATAATGTAATGTATGGTAACATAACAAAAAAAATAGATACATATTACAAATACCCATCACCTTTTCACTCTATTAGGGGGGTCTCTGAGGAACAGAAGTTATTAATTTTAATTAAATCAAATTTATCTATCTTTAAAAAAAAGTATATAGAAACACATTTGCTCCTTTCCCAGACTGCCAATAAATATGAAGAAAATAGAAATGATTTAGAAGAGAATTATAAAAGTATAAATGTTTGGATTTTTTAGAATGGGAAAAAACATTTTGGTGGCAATTTCACAGTAATTTACATGAAAATATGAAGTTTTAATCTCAAAAGTAATAACTAGGTGGTTTGGCGGGTGGGAGGTTTGGGGATCCAGAGAAGCACTCCTATCTTTTGAATACCTACTATAACCTGTGTCATATGCTGCAAAGAGCTTCTGTTGTCTCATTTATTAGGCCTCATCTCTCTATTATAAATTAGGAACTCAGAGCTCTTAAGAAAAAACAATATGTGTAGTATTGCCAATAGTACAGCTAAAAGAAAATATTATAAAGTGTAACAAATTTTTTAGGTTATAAGGAGAAATGTTTACTAATGGTGAAAACTCTTAAGCATTGTGGTTGCTCATCTATGAAAATTTGCCAACTTCTTTTCCTTCTCTGGAAGCATTAAGCTTATTTTTGTGATGGTTTAAGAATGATTGTACCCAAAGGCCGAGGAGATGGACCTCATGAGCTTCCAAAGTTTCTTCTAAGTCTTAAGATCTTATAGTTTGGTATTTTTGTGATCTCAAAAGTGTCCTTATTTATTTCCCTTTCTCAAGGTGGATGATATAAATGCAGCTGTGATGGATTTGAAAGAGAAGAAGATTCGTAGTCTAAGTGAAGAGGCCAAAATAGGAGCACATGGAAAGCCAGTGATTTTTCTCCATCCTAAAGACTGTGGTGGTGTTCTTGTGGAATTGGAGCAAGCTTGATTTAATTTGCAAGAAACTTTAAAAATCCCCACCAAAATATACTGAAAATCCCCATTGAATTATACTCCAGCATTGAATCCTGCACTCCTTCCATCACTTAAGAGTTCACAATTAAAGGGGCACCTGACTGGCTCAGTCAGTGACTCTTTACCCCAGGGTTGTGAGTTCAAGCCTCACATTGGGTATGGAGATTACTTAAAAATAAAATCTTTTAAAAGAAGTTCAAAATTAAAAACTAAATTACAGGGGTGCCTGGGTGGCTCTGTCGATTAAGTTTCTGCCTTCGTCTCAGGTCATGATCCCAGGGTCCTGGGATCAGGCCCCACGTCAGGCTCCCTGCTCAGTGGGGAGTCTGTTTCTCTCTCTCCCTCTGCCCCTCCGCCCGCTTGTGCTCTCTTTCTCTCCCTCTCTCAAATAAATGGATAAAATCTTTTTTTAAAAAAAACTAAATTACGGAAAGAGATTTTTTAAATTGTACATATGTATAATAAATGTCAATATATATAATTGACATATTTGTTAATTACTTTGGTTTTTGTCTGATTTGGAGGAATCCTTGATTATTAAATACTTAGGGAATATTATTAAAATTATAGAAATAAATTATTCTTGTCCAAAATGGGGTCATTGACTACAGTATGTTACTGTGTGAAAGAGTGTATCTGCACGCGTGCGCATGTGTATGTGAGTTGGGGTGGAGTTAGGAAAGGGTGCCTGATAGCTGCATAGCTACATATTTGGGACAGAGTGCTTTCTGAGGATGTCATGGAGAGTTTTTTACACCGACTTTAAGGTTAAGGAGTTTTGACCTCAACGTTTTTGCTCTTCTACAACAATTCTGTTCACAGGTTCCATATGGGCAGGTATTTTTGGTGCTAGTGCTAGATATATGAATAAGAAGTTTTGTGGAAAACTTCATTCATGATCTAGTGAGTGCATAGGTAGCTGAATTTTTTTTTTTTAAGATTTTATTTATTTATTTATTTATTTGACAGAGAGAGAGACAGCGAGAGAGGGAACACAAACAAAGGGAGTGTAAGAGGGAGAAGCAGGCTTCCCGCGGAGTGAGGAGCCCGATGTGGGGCTCGATCCCAGGACCCTGAGATCATGACCCGAGCCGAAGGCAGACGCTTAATGACTGAGCCACCCAGGCGCCCCGGTAGCTGAATTTTTTTATTCTTTATTTAAATTCAGTTTAGTTAACATACTGTATTACTAGTTTCAGGGGTAGAATTTAGTGATTCATCAGTTGCATATAACACCCAGTGCTTGTGACATCAAGTGCCCTCCTTAATGCCCATCATCCAGTTACCCCATCCCCCCAGCCACATTCCCTCCAGCAACACTGTTTGTTTCCTAGAGTTCAGCATCTCTTATGGTTTGCTTCCCTCTCTATTTTCATCTTATTTTGTTTTTTCTTCACTTCCCATATTTTCATGTTTTGTTTCTTAAATTCCACGTATAAGTGAAACCATATGATAATTGTCTTTCTCTGATTGAATTATTTTGCTTAGCATAAAACCCTCCAGTTCCATCCACATCACTGCAAACGTTAAGAGTTCATCCTTTTTGATGGCTGAGTAATATTCCATTGCATATATCTATACCACATCTTCTTTTTTTTTTTTTTAAAGATTTTATTTATTTATTCATGAGAGAGAGAAACAGAGGGAGAAGCAGGCTCCCAAGGAGCGGGAAGCCTGATGCGGGACTCGATCCCAGGACCCTGGGATCATGACCTGAGCCGAAGGCAGACGCTTAACCATCTGAGCCACCCAGGCGCCCTATACCACATCTTCTTTATCCATTCATTTGTTGATGGACATCTGGGCTCTTTCCATACTTTGGCTATTATGGACATTGCTGCTATAAACATTGGGGTTCAGGTGCCCCTTCAGATCACTGTTTGTATCCTTTGGGTAAATACCTAGTGGTGCAGTCACTGGGTCATAGGGTAGCTCTATTTTTAACTTTTTGAGGAACTTCCACACTGTTTTCCAGAGTGGCTGTACCAGCTTGCATTCCCACCAGCAGTGTAAGAGGGTTCCTCTTTCTTCACATCCTTGCCAACATCTCTTGTTTCCTGAGTTGTCAATTTTAGCCATTCTGACCAGTGTGAGGTGGTATCTTACTGTGGTTTTGAGCTGTATTTCCCTGATACTGAGTGATGTTGAACATTTTTTCATGTGTCTATTGGCCATTTGTATGTCTTCTTTGGAAAAATGTGTTTGTTTCTTCTGCCCGTTTCCTGACTGGATTATTTGTTTTTTGGCTGTTGAGTTCAGTAAGTTTTTTTAATAGATTTTGGATACTAAACCCCTTATTAGATAAGTTATTTGCAAATATCTTCTCCTATTCTGTAGGTTGCCTCTTAGTTTTATTGATTGTTTCCTTTGCTGTGCAGAAGTTTTTTTTTTTATCTTGATGAAGTCCCAATAGTTCATTTTTGCTTTTGTTTCCCTTGCCTCCAATGACGTGTCTAGTAAGAAGTTGCTACAGCCGAGGTCAAAGAGGTTGCTGCCTGTGTTCACCTCTAGGGTTTTGATGGTTTCTTGTCTCACATTTAGGTCTTTCATCCCTTTTTAATTTATTTTTGGTATGGTAAGAAAGTGGTCCAGTTTCATTCTGCATGTGGCTGTCCAATTTTCCCAACACCATTTGTTGAAGAGACTGTCTTTTTCCCACTGGATATTCTTTGCTGCTTTGTTAAAGATTAGTTGACCATAAAATTGAGGGTCCATTTCTGAGTTCTCTGTTCTGTTCCATTGATCTATGTGTCTGTTTTGTGCCAGTACATACTGTCTTGATGATGACAGCTTTGTAATAGAGCTTGAAGTCTGGAATCATGATGCTTCCAGCTTTGGTTTTCTTTTTCAACATACCTATAGTTATTTGGGGTCTTTTCTGGTTTCATACAAATTTTAGGATTGTTTGTTCCAGTTCTGTGAAAAATGTTGATATTTTGATAGGGATTACATTGAATGTGTAGATTGCTTTGGGTAGTACAGACATTTTAACATTTAACAATGTTTGTTCTTCCAATTCATGAGCATGGAATGTTCTTCCATTTCTTTTTGTCCTCTTCAATTTCTTTCATAAGTGTGCTGTAGTTCTCAGAGTACATATCCTTTACGTCTTTGGTTAGGTTTGCTCCTAGGTATCTTATAGTTTCTGGTGCAATTGTAAACAGGATCGTTTCCTTGATTTCTCTTTCTTCTGCCTCATTGTTAGTGTATAGAAATGCAACAGATCTCTGTACATTGATTTTATATCCTGTGACTTTACTAAATTCCTGTATGAGTTCTAGCAATTTTGGGGTGGAGTCTTTTGGGTTTTCTACATAGAGGATCATGTCATCTGAAAATAGAGTTTGACTTCTTTGCCGATTTGGATGCCTTTTATTTCTTTTTGTTGTCTAATTGCTGAGGCTAGGACTTCTAGTACTATGTTGAACAACAGTGGTGAGAGGAAATCCCTGTCGTGTTCCTGACCTTAGGGGAAAACCTCTCAGTTTTTCCCATTGAGGAAGATATTCGCTGTGGGTTTTTCATATATGGCTTTTGTGATATTGAGGTATGTTCCCTCTATCCCTACATGGCGGGGAGTTTTTATCAAGAAAGGATACTGTAGGGTCCCCTGGGTGGCCCAGTTGGTTAAGCATCTGCCTTCAGCTCAGGTCATGATCCCAGGGTCCTGGGATTGAGCCCTGCATCAGACTCCCTGCTCAATGAGGCATCTGCTTCTCCTTCTCCTTATCCCTCTGCCCCTCCCTTCCACTTGTGCTCTCTCTCATGCACTTGCTCTCTCAAATAAATAAAATCTTTTAAAAAAGGAAAGGATGCTGTTATTTTGTTAAATGCTATTTCTACATCTATCGAGAGGCTCATATGGTTCTTGTTCTTTCTTTTATTAATGTGGTGTATCACATTGATTGATTTGTGGATGTTGAACCACCCTTGCAGCCCAGAAATAAATCCCACTTGGTTATGGTGAATAATCCTTTTAATGTACTGTTGGATCCTATTAGCTAATATCTTATTGAGAATTTTTACAACCATGTTCATAAGGGACATTGGTCTGCAATTCTCCTTTTTAGTGGGATCTTTGTCTGGTTTTGGGATCAAGGTAATGCTGGCCTCATAGAATGAGTTTGGAAGTTATCCTTCCATTTCTATTTTTGGAACAGTTTCAGAAGAATAGGTATTAATTCTTCTTAAATGTTTGGTAGAATTCCCCTGGGAAGCCATCCTGCCCTGGAATCTTGTTTGTTAGGAGATTTTTTATTACTGCTTCAATTTCTTTGCTGGTTATGGGTCTGTTCAGGTTTTCTATTTCTTCCTGTTTTAATTTGGGTAGTTTATGCATGTCTAGGAAGGCATCTATTTCTTCCAGATTGCCTAATTTGTTGTTATATAATTGCTCATAATATTCTCTTATAATATTTCCTATTTCTTCAGTGTTGGTTGTGATCTCTTCTCTTTGTGATTTTATTTATTTGGGTCCTTTCTCTTTTCTTTTTGTTAAGTCTGGCTAGGGGTTTATAGGTCTTATTAATTCTTTCAAAGAACCAGCTTCTAGTTTCATTGATCTGTTCTATTGGTTTTTAAAATTTCTATATCATTGATTTCTGCTTTAATCTTTATTATTTCTCTTCAGCTGGATTTAGGCTTTATAGCTCCTTTAGGTATAAAGTTTGGTTGTGTATTTTAGACTTTTCTTGTTTCTTAATAAAGGCCTATATTGCAATATACTTCCCTCTTAGGACTGCCTTTGTTGCATCCCAAAGGTTCTGAACTGTCGTATTTTCATTTTCATTTGCTTCCGTGTATTTTTAAATTCTTCCTTAATTTCCTGGTTGACCCATTTATTCTTTAGTAGGATGCTCTTTAACCTCCTTCCAAATTTTTTCTTGTAGTTGGCTTCAAGTTTCAAAGCATTGTGGTCTGAAAATATGCAGGGAATGATCTCATTCTTTTGGTACTGGTTGAGACCTGATTTGTGACCCAGTATGTGATGTGTTCTGGAGACTGTTCCACGTGCACTCATGAAGAATGTGTATTCTGCTGCTTTAGGATGCAGTACTCTGAATATATCTGTTAAGTCCATCTGGTCCAGTGTGTCATTCAAAGCCCTTGTTTTCCTTGTTGGTCTTCTGCTTAGATGATGTGTCCATTGCTGTGAGTGGGGTGTTAAAGTCCCCTACTCTTATTGTTATCAATGAGTTTTTTAATTTTGTTATTAATTGGTTTATATATTTAGCTGCTCCCAAGTTAGGTGCATAAATATTTACAATTGTTAGATCTTCTTGTTGGAAGACTCTTTTATTATGATATAGTGTCCTTCTACATTCCTTATTACAGTATTTGGTTTCAAATCTAGTTCATCTGATACAAGGATTGATACTCCATCTTTCTTTTGATGTCCATTGGCATGATAATGGTTCTCCATCCCCTCATTTTCAATCTGGAGGTGTCTCTTTGTCTAAAATGAGTCTCTTGTAAAATTGATGTGTCTTGTTTTGCTATCCATTCTGATACCCTCTGTCTTTCGATTGGAGCTTTTCGTTCATTTACATTCAGAGTAATTACTGAAAGATATGAATTTAGTGCCATTGTATTACCTGTAAGGTTGCTGTTCCTGTAGATTATCTCTGTTCCTTTCTGGTCTTTGTTACTTTTCATCTCTCTCTTCACTCAAAGGATCCCCTTTAATATTTCTTGCATGGCTCCATTAGTGTTCACAAATTCCTTTAGTTTGTGTTTGTCCTCGAAACTCTTTATCTCTCCTTCTATTCTGAATTACAGCCTCGCTGGATAAAGTATTCCTGGCTGCATATTTTTCCCATTTAGCATGCTGAATATATCATGCTAGTCCTTTCTGACATGCCAGGTCTCTGTGGACAGGTCTGCTAACAGCCTTATGTGTCTACTCTTGTAGGTTAAGAACCCTTTGTCCCGAGCTGCTTTCAGGATTTTCTCTTTATCTTTGAAATTTGCAAGTGTCACTATTATATGTTGAAGTGTTGACCTATTTTTATTGATTTTGAGGGGGGTTCTCTGTGCCTCCTGGACTTGAATGCCTGTTTTCTTCCCCAGATTAGGGAAGTTATCAGTTATAATTTGTTAAAATAGACCTTCTGTCCCTGTCTCCCTCTTCAACTTCTGGGACCCCTATTATCTGGATATTATTTCACTTTATGGAATCGCTGAGTTCTCTAAGTCTCCCTTCATGATCCTGTAGTTTCTCTCTTCCTTTCAGCTTCCTTATTTTCCATCATTTTATCTTTATCACTGACTCTTCTGCCTCATTTATCCTCACTCTTAAAGCCCCATTTGGGACTGCATCTCAGTAATAGCATTTTTAATTTCAGCCTGACTAGATTTTAGTTCTTTTATTTCTACAGGAAGGGATTCTCTAGTGTCTTCTATGCTTTTTTCAACCCCAGCTAGTATCTTTATAATTGTTGTTTTAAATTCTAGCTCAGACATCTTACTTATATCCATATTAATTTTATCCTTGGCAGTGAGTTTCTTTTGGAGTGAATTTCTCTGTCTCATCATTTTGTCCAGAAAAGAATAGAAGAGAGAAAGAGAAAATACAACAATAACCACAATGACAGCAGAAACAAAACAAAACAAACCAGAAAAACAAAACAAAACAAAACAAGAAACAAAACAGAACAAAACAAAAAACTAGATCCTAGGTGTGTTTTGGTCTGCTTGTTAAAAGAAACTAGATCCCAAAATAAGAAAGAAAAACTTATATATATACAAAAATTAAGAAAATAAGATAAAATACAATGAAAGGAAACAATAAAACAATATGTATATATAATGTATATAAAAATAAAAATTCAAAAGAATTGAAAAAATAAGGAAATAACTGAAAAAATAATACTGAAAGACTTAAGAATAAAAAGCCCATGGGTGCTATATACTGTTGTCCCCAAGACCTGAAGCTTTGCTATTATTATTATCAGTATACTTGGTGCAGGCCAGTTGTTCCTGCTGGTCTTCTCAGGGAGGGGCCTGTTGTGCTGATTCTTTGGTGCCCTTACCCTGGTGGAATTTTGCCTCCCTTGCCGGGGGTGGGGGTGGGAGGGGGGGGGTGAAGAGGACGGGCTCAGTGTAAGCAGCTCCAGATTCTACTATATGGTGCTCTTTTGCTCCCTGAAGTCTTTCAGCACTGATGGGTGGGATGAAAATGGTGGTGCCCCTGTCTCTAGCCCTGAAGCTGAAAGTTCATGGCCTCCACTCTTCAGGGAACCCTCACAGAAAAGCAGTCAATCACTCTTGTCTCCCTGGTTTCCATCTGAACTCTGTGTTCACCCAGGCTGTGACCAAGCATTTTTATCTCGGGCACAAGACTCAGTTTCAAAAACCAAAGTTTACAGACTCCTTTGGCGTGAACCTGAGGTATTCCTCCTGGGGGAGGGAGGGGGGGATCTCACCATGCTTCTGCCTTTTGCTGGGCCCTGGCCAGGAGAGCAGTCGTGTGACCATGCAGTCGTTCACTGTTTATGGCAACAGAAAGCAGAAAGCTGGGACCTAGACTTGCTATTTTCAGCCAACTTCCCCTCTCCCATGCCTGGGAACTCTGCTGCACTCAAGCACCCCCATTCTTCTTGTGACCTTGGGAATCCTGAGACAATGCTGTCCCACCTGGGATTCCAACCCACTCCACCACCTGTGCACCTTTAAGCCAGGGACACACCCCACTGTAGAAGACTTCTAAAAGTTTTGATTTTGCACTCCATTGTTTGTAATACTTTGTGGTAACCTTCTTAAGCAGGATCCCTCCCCTCCACTGTATCCTCCAATATATTACCCTGGATTCAAGTCTCCGCACGTCCTACCTTCCAAAAAGTGGTCACTTTTCTATTTGTAGAATTGCAGCATTTCTTTTCTCAGATTTCTGATTGATTTCACAGGTGTTCAGAATAATTTGATAACTATCTATCTATATTTGAGGGACCAGAGAAATTTAAGGTCCCCTACTCCTCTGCCATCTTAACTCTTTCCCCTCTCAATTTTTTTTTTTAGACACGGAGAGGGCAGTGAATTTGTAGGGTTATCTATCACTTCATGTGGTGGAACACCACAAATCCTAGAGGAAGATACAAAATAAATAGAAACCCATTGCCAAGAAACTTATGGTCCAGTTGGGAAAACTACTTCATGAAATAAATGTAAATACTTAAAAAGCAACATGAATGAGTTGAAAGGAAAAGAAAAGAGAAAGGAATATAGATCTCAGAGGATGGGCTTAGTGGCATATCAGGTTAAAATATAATAGAAGTAATCAGGAGGAGTTTCAAGAATCATGGGTGGGTGAAACGCATAATGTATGGGAATGTGGCTAATGTCTTCAATTCATGGATTATTGGATGTTGAGTAAATGAGTAGTTGTGTACACATTGAGCTTGTTATAGAAGACAAGTACAACATCTGGTTATACTTGTCACTTAAAAGTTAAAAGCAAAAATCATAATATCTGATGTGGTTGTATGTATGCAGAGGTAATATTTAAGACAACTGTAACATAAGGGAGGTGGGAAGGATAATGGGACTTAAGTAGTGATTAAGTACCTACATTCCACTTGAAGAGGTACTTGTTGACACTAGTGGACTGTGATAAACTGCATATGTATATTGTAATCCCTAGTGCAACCGCTGAAAAAACTATACAAAGAATTACACTAAAATATGTAGATAAATCAAAATGGAATACTAAAGAATGCCCAAATAACCCAGTTGAAGACAGATAAAGAGAAACAGGAAAAAGAAAGAAGGAAGGAAGGAAGGAAGAAAGAAAGAAAGAAAGAAAGAAAGAAAGAAAGAAAGAAAGAAAGAAAGAAAGAAAATAATAAAATGATGAACCTACATCCTAATGTATCAATAATTACATTAAATGTAAATGGTCTAAGCATACCAATTAAAAGAGATTAAGTAAATGGATAAAGTACAAGACCCAGTCATATGCTATGTATAGGAAATTCGCTTCAAATATAATGGTAGATTAAAAAATGAAAAATATATATACTCTGCAAATACTAATCTAAAGAAAGCTAGGGTGGCTGTAGGCTTCAGAACAAAAGAAAATTGCCAGGAACAAACAGGTACATAGCATATGATAAAAGTGCCAGATCATAAGAAAACATAACAATATATGTATGTGCACCAAACAACAGAGCTGAAAAATAATATGAAGCAAGAATTGAAAACAGGACTGGACAAAAATAGATTAATTCACAGTTAAAATTGGGGATTTCATCACCTCTCTTGGTATTGAATAGAACCACCAAAAAAAAGTCAACAAGTACACAGAAGAATTGAACAGTACCATCCTGTGTACAGGATACACATTCTTTTCCAGCATGTATGGGACATTCACCAAGATAGACCGTATCTTAGGTCATAAAAAGAACATTAACATATTTTTAAAAAGTAAAACCATAAAAAAATATGCTTTGTGATCATAACTGAATTAAACTAGATATCACAGATAACAGGAAAAAATCTCCAGAAATTTGTAAATTTTACAGCAAACTTCTTTTTTTAAATTTAAATTTTAGTTAACATACAGTGCAATGTTGGCTTCAGTAGTAGAATTTAGTGATTCATCTTACCTACAATCCCCAGTGCTCATCGCAAGTGCCATCTTTAATACCCATTACCCATCTAGCCCATCCCCACCCACCTCCATCCATCAGCCCTCAGTTTGTTCTCTATTGTTAAGAGTTTCTTATTTTTTTCCCTCTCTCCTTTTTTTCTTTTCCCCCTTCCCATATGTTCATCTGTTTTCTTCTTAAATTCCACAGATGAGTGAGATCATATGGTATTTGTCTTTCTCTGACTAACTTATTTCACTTAACATAATGCATTCTAGTTCCATCCAGGTCTTTGCAAATGGCAAGATTTCATTCTATATCACATCTTCTTTATCCATTCGTCAGTAATTAACATTTGGGCTCTCCATAGTTTGGCTATTGTTGATAATGGTCCTATAAACATCAGGATGAATGTATCCCTTCAAATATGTATTTTTGTATTCTTTGGGTAAATACCTAGTAGTGCAATTGCTGGATCATAGGATAGTTCTATTTTTTAACTTTTTGAGGAAACTCCATCCCGTTTTTCAGAATGAACACAGCAAACTTCTAAATAATTAATGCATCAAAGATGAAATCTCAGGGAAGTAAAAAACATTGAGCTAAATGCAAATATATAATCTTTTTAATAAAATTCACTTTGTGAATTTAATTCATCAATTGATAATTTAATACAATTCTGTTTTCATAAGCAGAATAAAATGTGGTAGCAAAAAATAGTATGTGGCAATAGTTTGATAGCTTCATAGCATCCATTCATCATTTTCTCCCTAATAGAATTCTGACTCTGCTAGGTATCAATGCTTATTTGCATGCCCCTCCCTTCCCACACACACACAGATAAGCCTCAGGTAGTCTTGTAGTTGGACTTAAATTACATCCCCCTTGCCAATGATGGGTTCCATTCCCCTTGCCAGTGATGGGTTCCATTCCTCTTGCCAATGATGGGTTCTCTAATCTGTAACATCTCATTACGTTTTTCTAAAAATTTTATTTTTTTATATTTTTCAAAGATATGGTAATATTTTGTTTTAAAATACAAAAATGCTTAAATTTTCTATAAAATTATAATTGAGACTTTATATATTGGAAATTATTGATATATCTAATTCTTCTGTGTGGAACATATATGTTTTTTCCTTTTAAGGGGCTTTCTTTTTAGAGCAGTTTTAGGTTCATAGTAATATTGAGCAGAAAGCACAGAGTACCCATATAACCCCTTCATCATAAATGCATAGCCTCCCCCCACTATCAACATCTGCATAAGAATGGTACATTTGTTAAAATTAATGAACCTACCTTAACACACCATTATCACTCAAATTTATGAAATTTGTTTCATGATTGAGTTTACCTAAGGGTTTACTCTTGGTGTTAGATCTTATACGGGTTTTGACAAATATATAATGACACGTATCCATCATTATGGTATTATACAGAATACTTTCACTGTCCTGAAAGACCTCTGTGCTGTCTATTCATCCTTCCCTCCCCCCTTTCCCCTGGCAACCACTGATATTTTTTCCGTCTCCATAGTTTTGCCTTTTTCAGAATGTCATATAAGTGGAATCATTGAGTATTTAGGGTTTTTTAATTGCCTTTTTCATTTGACAGCTCATTTCTTTTCAGTGCTGAATAGTATTCCATCATCTGGATGTAATAGAGTGTATATATCCATTCACCTAGTGAAGGATATCTTGGGTACTTCCACATTTTGGAAATTATGAATGAAGCTACTATAAATATATATGTGTACGTTTTGGTGTGGACACATTTTTCAGCTCATTTGAGTAAATACAAAGGAACATAATTGCAGAATCTTACAATAAGAGTACATTTACTTACTCTTAAGTATCTTTCTCTTAAGAAATCACCAAAATGTCTTCCAAAGTGGCTGTACTGGGCCCCTGTGTGGCTCAGTCAATTAAGAGGCTGCCTTCCACTCAGGTCATGATCTCAGGGTTCTGGGATTGAGCCCTTCATTGGACTCCCTGCTATAAGTGGGGAGTCTGCTTCTCCTTCTGCTCCTCCCCTCCTGCTTGTGCTCTCGCTCTCATATAAATAAATAAAATCTTTTAAAAGAACCCTAAAAACAGAGTGGCTGTACCATTTTATGTTACACTACATCCCTACAAGCATTTGGCATTGTCAATGTTCTCAATTTTGGCTATTCTAATAGGTATATAGTGAAATCTTGTTGCTTTAATTTGCATTGCCTTGAGGACATATTATGTGGAGCATCTTTTCATATGCTTATTTCCCGTCTATATATTCTTGATGAGGTGTCTGTTCAGGCCTTTCCCCCATTTTCAAATTGGGTTGTTTGTTTTTTTTTATTATTGAGTTTTAAGTGCTCTTTGTTTATTTTGGATAATAATCCCCTATGAGATATGTTGTTAACACCTATTTCTTTCCAGTCTGTGACTTGTCTTCTCATTCTCTTGACATTGTCTTTTGCAGAGAAGTTTTTGTTTTAATAAAGTCCAGGTAATCAACTTTTCTTCAGCTTATCAATCCTTTTTTTTTTTTTTGGATGGGTCATGCCTTTGGTGTTATATCTAAAAAGGCCCCACCATGACCAAGGTCATCTAGGTGTTCTTCTATGTTATCTTTTAGGAATTTTATAGTTTTACATTTTACATTTAGGTCTATGATTCATTTTGAGTTAATTTTTGTGAAGGGTGCAAGGCCTGCACCCAGATTCTTCTTTTTGTGTGTGTGTGTGTGTGTGTGTGTGTAGATGTCCAGTTGCTACA